ATTTCTGGCTGACCCGCCTTTCGCGGAGCGCCCGATTATTCCTAATGAACATCTAGCGGCACACCGCACACCTAATTTCGATTTCCCCTCGACTCGGAGAACAGCGCTTATAAAATTTCTTCTCTCTTTTATCGTCAGCTCATGCGAGATTTATCCGGATCTTCAACAATTTTAGGGTTTCCACCTCCTTCGACCTCCCTTTTCGTCTTATTCCGATCTCTTCCGAAGGGCCGTCGGCGTCTCGCTGTTGTTGTTGATTGATCCATCCTCGCGTGATCCAGGATAACGTCGCATCCAGGTAGTCGCAGCAGCTTGCTTTGATTGTTTGCTATTTTACCCGATCTAATTTTCTTCGTCCGGAAGATATGTATATTGTTGATCCGATCTTAGGATTTTTCGTGGCTTTTTTTTTTTTTTTTTTTTTTTAGGTTGCGTGAGTGTTTGTTACTGATGGTTATGGGTAATCGTTTAAAATCAGAAGTTTCACCTTATGGTAATAATGTGCCGTGTGATTATATCTGTTTTCCTCATTTGTTTGTGTTAAAACGAGAAGCAGCTCTAATAGTAATTACTAGATGAGGAGTTTTTGTTCGAGAAGGCTCGCGAGGGATGATGTAAGACGAAGTATATAACCCAACGATCAATCACACATCACGGAGTCCATGGCTTCTGCAGCTATCATACATATGAGAGGATAGAGATGATTCGTTATGAAGAGCCCACAAACAAATCAATGCGCAGGGGATTGTATTGTTCCCAAAGCATAATATCCATTCTCCATGCTAAGAAAACCCTTAAATATTTAGAAAAGTCAATAGGAAAACATTATATTGTAAAATAAGGAGAGCCATATGAAGGGAAGTTACAAATTAGAAGACCCAAGTGGGCCAAGTCATATTAGGATTCCATTCAAACATTCATTGACGCTGGCACCACATAACTTCGATCTTTGGCATGGTATTGTTAAGAAGACCTTATGTGCTTCAAGTCTATCTGCACTAGTTAAAGCTTCTCACAGACAAAGACATTATAAGAGGAACATGCTTTATTTTTATGGTTTGTAAGTAAAGGATGGAAGAACTGCCATTGCGGATTGATGGGATCCTTTCCTCTGCAGCTAAAGCTCCTTTTCTCACACAATTAGGACAAATGGTGAGTGCTTGGGCTGTAGCTGCTCCTGCGCTTGCTCGGCTGCTCTTCTTACATGATTGGTGCATGACGAACAATGTCTACAATCCCACCGTGAATTTTTAAGGTTTAGGTTATTTTTAATATTGTATATAGTAATGTAAAGTAATAATATATATATTTTTTAAATATAATGATTGTGGTGCTGCCTCAAATATCCCAAGGCATAGTGCCTTGAGGCATATGCGTCATATGAAAAATGTGTAAGCTAGCGAGGCTTAAGTCTTGATGTGTTTTGGACATCTTAGTTTGATGTGAGCCACAAAGTGTGCACCTTGAACAATATTTTAGTCCATGCTGCAGAAACAAATTATTTCTTCTTTTTTTTATTACTTCTTTATTGGACAGAAGCAATGTGCTGTTGTCTTCTTGTTTCTTGCTGTAATGCCCTTCGGGTTCACCTTTTTTGGACTAATTCCATGCTAGCTCAGCAAACAACGTTGTTTACTTGAGCTGTCTTACACTGCACAGTAAACAAGCTCAGCAATTAACGTCCCAAAACGCATATAAAGCAATACAGCATCCCATAATAAGTTCTCTTCAATCAGAGCTTCATGCTTCATCTCACCACAGGGAAGATCATTCAGCAAATATGTTTCACGGGGAAATTGTAATAGAGAGCAAATCTGAAGCTCCTTGCTAGAGTATTTATACTGGGGGCTGAAGAAGATAAGGAAATGTATATAAAACTCGTGAGGCTTTACGAACTTATGTTTGAATTTAATTTAGGATTTGAGCCTTTGGACAGACACATTACAAAATCCAACAAATGAGGAAATTTTTACCAATAATCAATTATATAAGTTCAAAGCAATCAATATTTGGGCTTAAGTTGTTGCCAAAATATTGGATTAGAACTTTACCACTGATAATCAATTCCATCATGTAACCTTTGGGGTGATAAGAAAAGGTTCAAACTAAAAGAGAATTCATATTTTAATTATTTTAATTTGGGCTTAAGTTGTTGCCAAAATATTGGATTAGAACTTTATCACTGATAATCAATTCCATCCTGTAACCTTTGGGGTGATAAGAAAATGTTTAAACTAAAATAGAATTCATATTGTAATTATTTTAATTTGAAATTTAATACAATTGCAAACTTATTCAAATAAGTAAAGAAAGTAAAATTCACCCTTATCCCACTGTAATATGAACTTTGACTTATTATTTTATCTTAAAGTTCTTGATCTCCACTATATGATGCCTAATCGACGATTTATTGCACTTATGAACTATGTGCTACATTTTTTCAACCTCGGTAGTGTGTAGGAGAATCACTATTGTTGGCTTTTTTTAAGGAGAAATTAAACTTTAAAATTCAACAACTATGATATTTTTAATCGTTCCATTTTATCATATGGTTCCCAAATCATGATAATTGATGATCGGGTTGATCGCCTATCAGATCGATCTCTAAATAGTTGGAACACTCTTTAGTCGGATATCATTACTTTGAAACCATAACTTCTAGTGGTGTAGATTGACTTTTCAATCTACCAACTATATTGCTTTACTTTGTTTGCTAACTTTTCTTTCAGGAAGTTTTTAGAAGATCTTTATCTTTATTTGAGAGGTTCGTTATTTTAGAGCGGGGTTAGCATTGCATCTTTAAGAGTTTTGTAAATGTTTAAGGTCATATATTTTGTGTACTATTTAGTTTGACTTATTTCTATGATAATATTTCTTCTTTCTAGCTTGCTAAAATTAACGAGATATTGATTTCTTATCATCAGTTTTTTTTATTAGTCTGGTAAGAGGCTGGCTCTTTGATCTCAAATCTTTAGTGATGAGGATTTCTTCCCTTTTGGTATTTCGTACCCCATTCTTTTATCAAACTTTTTTTACTCCTTCTAGATGTCTTTGGGTTGTTGTAGGTACATCATTGTGTAGTTACATATATTCTCGATCACTCATGATTCTTTTTTTATTTTGTTGATGTCAATTTTGATAGTTGTTTCAATAAATTGGTTTATTCGATGGTCGTTTATTGGTGATTGATTGTCTTTCTTGCTTCTCTATCAGCTTTTGTATCTTCAGGTTACCCTATTTTGCTCAAGATTAAGCATAATTTTCCCTTTAACGGGATGTACTAGCATCAACAAAAGTTGTCTGTTTTCATTAATATGTCTGCATGCTTTCCCTCTTTATTATACATATGCATTTGACACTCTGTAGCCTTTACTACAAATGCCATAGAAATATTAATATCTTATGTATTCAAGAAACTAAATGGGTTGGAGAAAAAGACTAAGGAGATTGATTAGTTTTAAACTTTGGTATTCTGGTAAGAGTCGCATTATAAATGGTGCAGGTGTAATTATAGATAAGAATTTGAAAGATAATGTTGTAAAAACTAAGAGAGTTGAAGATAGAATTATAGACCTTAAAATTATCATTGATACTAAGATTTTTAATATTATAAGTGCTTATGCTTCTCAAGTAGGTTTAGATATAGGGTTCAAAGATAAATTTTGGAATGATTTAGAAGACTTAATACAAATGATATCTCTTGAAGAAATAATTTTTGTCGGAGGAAATTTAAATTGACATGTCGGTAGAGTGGTATAAGATTTTAGAAATATTCATGGTAGCTACGGTTTTAGAGTGACTAATGAAGACGATAGAGCTATTTTAGATTTTATTTTAGCGTACGATTTTGTTATTACTAATACTCTATTCAAGAAAAAAATGAGCATCTTATTACTTATAAGAATTGATCTAATAAAACACAAATTGATTATTTTCTTATAAAAAGAAGAGATCGTCAAAATTATAAAGATTGTAACGTCATTTCAAGTGAGGATCTAAATACCCAACATCGTTTATTAATTCTAGATTTTAAGATGAAGAATTGTAAAATAAAGAATACTAGGACTCATCATCATAGAATTAGACGAGAGAACGTAAAAGATACAAATAAAATTATTTTTATGAGTAAAATTAATATTTCAAATTTTGGGATGTTCATGATGAAACATGGGATAAATAACAAACACTATTAAACAAATAGCAAAAGATTATGTGGAGAAAAAAAAAGTTTTTTTAAATAAAAATAGTTGGTGGTGGAATAATAATGTGCAATAAAAAATAAAATATAAGAAGTTATGTTACAAAAAATTGGTTTAAATGTAAATGCTTATAGAACTGTGATAAATATCAAATGACCCACAGAGAGTCTAATAGAACAACATTTTACGTTAAAAATTCTTTTTTTAATGATCTCTATAATAGATTAGATACTAAGAAGGGTGAAAAATATATGTATAAACTAGCCAAAGAAAGAGAAAGAAAAAGTAAAGATTTAACTCAAGTAAAGTGCACTAAAGATGAAAATCAAAAGTGCTTTTCTTAGTAAAAGATTTCAACAGGTGGGTAAATTATTTTGATACTTTTTAATGAAGTTTTTGAAAATACGATCGATCTTAGTGATCTTAATATCGTTAAAACGTTTCATTTTTACTGTCGCATTAGTAAAAAAGAAGTTGAGGAGGCTTAAAAGAAAATCAAGGGTGATAGGACCTTATGATATCCCGGTTGAAATATGGAAATGTTTAGGAGATTTGGGAGTTTCTTGGCTAACTAAACTCTTTAATATTATTTTAAATACTAAAAAGATGTCTGAGGAGTGGAGGAAGAGTATTTTGATCCCCATTTTTAAGAATAAAGGGGATGCACAAGAGTGTGCAAATTATAGAGGAATTAAGTTGATGTGACATATGTTAAAATTATGGGAGAGTGTTATTGAACATAGTTTAAGACGTGATACAAATATTTCTCATAATCAGTTTGGATTTATGCCGGACATGTCTACTATGGAAGCTATACATTTATTGAGAGGTTTGATGGAGAAGTTCAGAGATAATAAGAAGAATCTACATTTGATTTTTATTGGTTTAGAAAAAGTTTATGATAAGGTTCCAAGAGAAGTCATTTAGAGAGTTATAGAAAAGAAAGGTATTGTAAGAAAGGTGTTGATATGACTTATATTCAAGTCATTAAAGATATGTATACTAGCTTGTTATAAAAATTTCCTATTATATAAGACTAAGTATTTTCCTATTTCGGTTGGATTACATCAAGGACCGACTTTAAGCCCAAATCTTTTAGCTTTAGTTATGGATGCTCTTATTGTACATTTGCAAGAGGAGGTTCCTTGGTGTATGCTTTTCGCCGATGATACCCTTCTTGTGGATAAGACTAGAGAAAGAGTTTAGGAAAATCTTGAATTATGGAGGTTTACATTGGAGTCTAAAGGCCTTCATTTGAGTAGAACTAAAACTAAATACATGGAATGTAATTTTAATAGTAATAGCTCTAATGATAAAAGTGTAACTTTAGGTGATCAAATTATTAAAAGGTGTGAACGATTTAGATATCTCGAGTCTGTTGTTCAAAGCGATGGTGATATATATAGATGGGGATGTTAATTATAGAATTCAAGTTGGTTGGTTGAAGTGGAGGAATGCTTCAGGCCTTTTGTGTGATTGAAAAGTACCGCTTAGACTGAAAGGAAATTTTGTAAGGCGGTGGTGAGACCTGCAATGCTCTATGGCGCTGAATGTTGGCCTTTAAAAGAGAAGCATAATACTGAGTGTTGTTAAGATGAGAATGATTAGGTGATCGAGTGGCTTTACACTTAAAGAAAAAAAATGCGAAATGATTATATCCGTGATAGGGTTGGTGTAGCTCCTGTGACGGATAAAATTAGAGAAAGTCATCTTAGATGGTTTGGTCACATTAAGCGTCGACCATTTGATGATCTGATTAGGAGAGTAAATGTTTTATATTCGACTTATGTTAAAGAAAGGCAGAGGTAGACCTAGGAAGACTTGGGTTTGTTGTATTAAAAATGATTTTAATTTATCAGAACTAAATGAAAATGAAATGAAAATATGACACTAAAGAGGATGCAATGGAGAAAAAAGATTCATGTACCCATCATGTACCCAACCCCACGTAGTGGCATTAAGGCTTTGTTGTTGTTGTTGTAGTAGTCTTTACTACAAATGTCATCTTCTTTTTTGGTAAAGTGATGCTAATTGGGTTGTTGATGCAGTATCACATACCCATCATGAAAGTATTAGTTGTGTCATGTGGAGTCACATTTTCATATCATCCATCAATATAATCCAGAACCTTGATGATTGCAAACTTTAGGCAACACTGGAGATCAATATTCATTTTAGGCCCCCTTCTGAATCCAACCAAAATGGTAATGATTGGGATGGGTATGGCTTCCAACCCTTATTTTTGAACCAATTTGACATAAATGTTGTTTTTTTGAATGTTTATGTTGATGATGACACTAATCACTATTTTCTTGATTTATTTCCTCTGTTCGAACAACTTTCCTTGTGTGTTCTTGAGTCATTGCAGTCAGATATATTGTTATATCTGGAAGATTTTTTAGGATCGTAAAACCTCTCTTGAGCCTTATCCCTTTTGCCTTATTTTTAATATGATAGTTTGAACATAAAAATTTTAGGCGTACATCATCAATGTTCCGCCCCCTGCAGCCTGAATTTTGTGATGTATTCATGGACAAAAAATTCTATTTTATTACTTTAAATTGCCCCACTTATCCTACAGATCTTTTGCATATTGAATCAGGTAGAGCTTTAGTGTATTAGTTGTGTGAACATCCCCAAAGTCTCTTCTTGATTTCTTTTTAAATGGGCATTCCACTATACTAGGGCATGTCGGTTTTAACATCAATTGCCTGAAAACCTTGTCATGGGTGATATTTATATCCTTATATTTGTCCTCTCCAACCATATTTGCATTCAACATTGAAGAAGGATGTGGAGTACAATTCGTCTTTTTAGTGGTAATGATGGATGTTTATATCCTCGTCATTATAATATGTGTTCATTTGTTTTGTCAGTTTGTCCAGTTGGTCTGCTTTATGTTGTGTTAAATCTTTGTTTGTCATAGATTGCTTTTTTTCCTTCTTCTTCTTCTTACTCTAGTATTCTTGGCTTTTGATGCATTTCCAAGACAAGAATTGCTCTTCATTGTCTTTATATCTCTTTTTTTATTATTCCATTCAACAATGATCGATGCTATGATACCAACTTGATCTATTGCCAACTTCTTGGAGCTATATTGTTTGTGCCCGCAATGTGAGGCTATAATGGATTCAAAAATTGTTGTTAAGAATTTTCTGGAATTTCTCTATCCATCTATTGATTAATTAAAACGTACTTGAACTCTATTTCAAAGTGGTATTGAAACATTTGATTTATATTTGTTATCTTCTCCTTTACTTACTGCGCACTTTTTTTCTCATTGTTTTTCTATGTCAACTTTACTGGACAGCAGTAAAGTGCTGTTTTTTCTTTCAATTTGCTATAACAACCTTCAAGTTCATTGTTTTTGTACTTATTCCATACCGGGACAACAATAAGACAATAAATAACTTAGTGCCCCTGAGTCCTTCATCCACTGGACAAAAAGCCAACGGAGTAATACATCAGTTCCACAAGTTTAGAGAAGCAGCACAACAGCCAATTTCAGCAAAGCAGCAGAAAAAAATTTTCAGCTAAGTACATAATGAGAGAGGAAAACAAGTATAAGAATTGGGAGTGTTTTTTAATTCTTGATTGAATTTTATACATGATTTGAGCATTTAAATAGGTGCATTGCATCAAGGATAAGTGTTAATTCATAACTAACCAAACTCCATGGATAGAGGAAAGTCCTATCTACAAATAACTAACTAGATAACTAACTAGATAACTTAAAGGTAAGTCATTATAATTCTTGTATAAATTATCCTAATTTGAATTTCAAGTTGAAATACAATTTTATCCCAAAAAGTCAAATCAGTTTTTATCCTAATGTAATATGAAATTTAACATAATGGTCTATTGGTCTGCCTTTAAGAGTTTTAATCTCCATCGTATGCTTTTTTATCAACAATTCATTAATGCCTGTGGACTCCAGGCAGTATCCTCTTTGATCTCAACTGTGCGATTTGAGAATTATATTTGCTTGCAATTTTCATAGAGCAATTGGACCATTGGAACTTCTATGAACTTTATTATTATTAATTTTTTTTTTATAATATGATCATAGATGATATTTATCTTATAGTAGATGTAAAATCCTTTGCAGTGCTATGGCCTAATAATATTTGAGGCACTCTCTGCAACTTAACAAATGCATTTTGTTCAATGGAGCATAGTTTGATTTTGAACGTTAAATATCTCATAAAATAATTATAAAATGCATTTGAAATAGCCAACATTATTCATATTTAATGTACCTATACTTTACCTTTCGAACAGGAAAGAATTTTTGTAGGAATAACATTGGATATGTCAGTTCTCCATGAAAGCGTGGTTTTTCAAATAATTTAATACTCTTTAAAATGATAGGAGGAGATATGTTTTTAGTTTGAGATGAGATTAACTCAAGGCTCAAGTGAAGATTTCTAATCCCAGGTATTACATAATCTTGTAATTTAACTTGGAATCAGCTGAATCTCAGTATTGTGGTATTAGTGTTTTGTGCCCTGTATCAAGACTGATGATGTAATCTTATGATTAGCATAGAATTAATCCTGATATATGGAGTTAAAGAAGTATTATGCTGGATTGGCCATATTTGATTGGTTAATTCAGTCAGCATAACATAGTAATTCATTGGTTGTCTGGATCAAACATAGTAACTCATTGATTAGCTTATTAAGCAGACAAAATAAGCAGAGGCAGGACAAAGGTTTTAAACTATTTGATGTAAACTAATTGTTTGTTTAGATTCAACGTAGTAACTTTTAATGTAAACTCTACCTTTCAGTGTTGAACACCTATTCCTATTCCTTTGTGAGAATTTGACAGGATAAAGGATTTAAACTATATGTTTGTTTCGTATGATACTGCTTCCTCTAATTTTTCAATGAAATCATTTACTCTTAAATCTTTAGAATCAGATCAACTTCTGCTATTTCTCTCATTGTATTTGTTCCAAATTTGTTTTTTTGTGACCTATTTGTTTGACTTTTTTTCTTTCATGTTTTCTATGGATGATAGATGTCAGTAAGAAAAGTGAGACCTTGTAAAACTCTAAGCACAATGAACCTTGAGCAGGATAATATTGACAGTTTGATTCGGCAAGCCATAGGAAAAGAGTCTTTTCTCTCCCTCTCAAGAACTGGTGATAGCCCTGTTCAGCTAATAGAATTGCTTCATGCCTTTGAGCAGCAAGGAAGTGACAAAGTTTCTAAAAGCTCAATGGGGGACAGCTGTGATGAATTCAAGGAGAACTCTGACAACATTTTCTATGCCGTCAATTCCTTTTCCTCGGAATCAAATGGGATTAAGGATCCTCTTCATGCTCTCAAGGGTTGGGAATCTAATACCAAGGGTTCAAAGGGCACACTTCCACAAATGTCGTCACGCAAAATTCCTGAAGCTGTATTTGCATTTGCTCAGGCAGCTGCAAAAGCCACCGGTGAGCCTGAAAAATGTATGTCGTGTCAAAATCAGGTATTTTAGGTTATAAATAGTAATAGGTACGGGTCTCATTGTATGTTAGGAGCTGATCACAAAAGGGTTGATTATTTTTTGCAGCAAACCTTCCAGGATGGCCTTTGTTGTCACCCTCCAAAACACAATTGCAGAAATGTGACAAGTGTTCTCGTGAATTTTGTTCCTCCATTAATTTTCGGCGGCACAGGCGCGTGCATCGACGATCTTTGAATGTTGATAAGGTACTTTTTATAATCTTCTTATGTATTCCTACATGAAGTTGATCTATTGAAAGTTTCCAAAAGATATAGGAAATATGTGTCGCTATTGCTTTTTGAAACACTTGGTATTTTGCAAGAGAAATTTTGGCATAATATTGTGCTAGTGCTAAAGTCTATAATGTACTGTTCATTTTTTGGAGCGCCAAAATGCTAATTTAGTTAAAGCTTTAAAACTCTTCTAGCAGGGAGGAGAGCTGTAATGTATTAGGTAAATGAATGTATCTATTTTTTCTAATTCATACTTGTCAATTGTTAACTGGCATAAGCTTTTAGGAAGAAATTATTTTTTGGGAACTGGCATCAGCTTCTTTATTATTTTGAACCCAAGTTCTCACCAATTTCTCAGAATTTTAAACAATCCTATCCGCAATCTGTAGGGATTTTTTTTTTATGGTTTCGAATTTCAGGTATCTGGCAAAAAGTTACATGACCTCAAGAGATTTAGGTTATGAATATGATATATGCTAAGGCAATCAAACTTGCTATTCTTCTTAGTTTTTTTTAGAAAATTTTTGCAAATAGATTTAAGCTTATGCATCAAACCCACACATTTTCGTGGTTGCTTGACATTTTTATTCATGATATAAAATGTTTGCTTATTATCTGAAAGTGAATCAGGTTGTGATTTGTACCTACTGGGCTAGATTTGTGTGTGAAATACATATCGTGGCAATGTGAGACGATGTACTTAATACCAGCTTTATTTACAGTGATGTAAACTAGACTGGATGCAGTCTTTGTTGATATCTTGAACTAAATTTAGTTCTCACATTCGTCTTATCTGATGCATATTTTTTTTATTTTGTAGGACTCTCAGAAAAGCAGAGACCTTTTAGGAACATTTTGGGACAAGGTAAGAAATTTTTCTTTGGAGCTTACTGATACATAGTTATTGTCATGTTTGGCCTCGGTTGGGACCTGACCGAAGTTATTCCTGATGGGACTGAAAACACATGCCTTTGATGTTATTTCTCAACACAAGTTGGAACCTAACATTGTTATTGTTTTTGGCTTGAACAAAATTTCTGCAAGTGTCATTTATTGTTTTATACTTGGACGTGTATATGCATAATATTGACCTTCTTTGTTGTAGCCGTTTGTGTTTCTGCTACCATGCCTAAAATTAACTGAGCACATTCTTTGTGCAGCTCTCTGTGGATGAGGCCAAAGAGTTAGTGTCGCTCAGGAATGCAACGGTGGAGGTGATGGACTAAATATTTTTTATGTATCTTTTATATTCCACATAATAGCAGCAATTGCTTAATACTTGTTTTCTTTTAGGTTATATATGATTACTAGTTTCTTGACTCATTTCATGTGAGTATGTAAACATAAGCAGGCCAGGTTATTGGTGCCTTTTTAAAATAATAGTGCTTTGCTGCCCTCGATTTTGAAGCCTTTTCCAGTTAAAACATAGTAGCTTGAACCTTTTACCTTGTTTCTAAGACATGGCTACTTATGTAGGACAGGTTCTCATCCATCTTCTGGTTTTCTTCTCCTCATGTGCCATCAAACTCAAACCTGCCTTTCTTTTTCATAGCACGTCAAATATTGTTATGATTTGTTTGTTGTGGCAGCTTAACATGTATAAGAGATTATTGCAACGTTTAGCATCTCCCTCAGTTTTTATTTCTTAACTCAAGTTTTTTTTATTGTTTTCATTGGGCAAAATCCTAAACAGAGTCCCAACATAAATTGTTTTTTTACTGTCTTGCTGGGGTCAGTGGCTCATTAAATTTTTCTGCGGTTCTTTATAACATTTAAGTCGCCCCCATAAGCAAAGTTTTAAACAAGATAGTTATGTTTTGGATCATAGATTGATCCATGTCCGTGTCAGTTAACTTTTCACACAAAGGAGATATGACCGTTTCAATGTGATGAACGTTGCAAGATTATGTTAAAGTTGAATTTTAAGCTGAATGACAATTTCGATCTATTTTATTTTATTTCAGCCGTAAAGATTTAGTAGGAGCTTGAAAAAAGGTATTTTTGGGCATGGAAGGCAAATATACTTTATAATGCAAAACTATGTTGCCTTCACCATTAATTTACTGTAATCTGCTTAACCCCCTTCACTTAAACTATTGTTATGTAAGCATGAATGGCAAGCCTTTCTCATTGCAAAAATGATTTATTGTCAATAAAAGGCAATAATTTGACGTTTAAGTGACCCTATGCACTATGAAAAATATACTGTTTATCCTGATGACATGCAAAAAATGTGAATTTATTTTCTTGTTCTCCATGAACTTCCCTCGATAGATATGAGTTTTCTTTGTTTTGGATAATAGAAGTTCCATGTTTTGTTGGGCTGGGTTCATGGTTCTCTTTCCATATTTGAAATCTTGAAACAACTTTCCCCGTTTCTGTTCCTTCAAATATTGAGTTCCTTATTTATTTTAGCACTGCCTCATTTTGTTTATGGCACAATGTATTTTATTTTAAACTTTTGAATTTGATTGATGCGCTCTGCTCAGAAGATAATCGTAGTTATATTTTGAATTTATTCTTTATATTTTTTTATTCAAATGGTGCCTTGAACTGTCAATTTTCAGGAAGTCACTGGTTCTTCTGTCATCAAGGCTTTATCTACATGGTTTCGTAGAGCAGGGCTGTTGTCTTCTCTTCCACAGGGGTACATTAAAGCTGGTTTGACACTTTTGGTAAGAAGATATCCAATTTTATGGCTCTGCTATCCCTTTTTTATTTTGTAATTACGTGATGACGCTGAAATACTTTTGAACCTTATCAGGATATTGTCCAAGCAAGCCCTTCAATTTCTCCCATTTCATCACAAGAGTTATTCAGTGTTCTTGATGAAGCAAGTGAAAAGACATTCTTATGTGCAGGGACAGCCTTGTCATTGCAGAAGTATGTCTTTGATGGAGAGGTTGTGAAGAAGGCTTTGGAAATTAGAAATATAGTAGCTTGCGCCAGTTTTTTAATTGAAATTGTACTGGTAGGGTATTCATGTTTGCCTATTACATCCCTGATAATATCTAATTTCTGAAGTTACAATAATTAACCGTACCAATGCACTTGATAGGTTAAAGCATGGCTCGTTGACCAGGATGCTGAAGCTCTAAGATGCCAAAAGCTGCTTGTGGATGAGGAAGATGCCGCCCAGAAAAGGTATTGTTGTGATGATAGAAGACATGATATTTTAGTTCATTGTGCAAACAACTTGATATGATGGATCCTTTTGATTGTTCTCACACGTTTTGAACAGTAATCATTTCTATAAGCAATTTTCTAGTAGGGTCATAGTTTGTGCTTGGTATTATATGAAAATCATACTCTACTTATGTTAGAAAAAGAACTTTCTTTATGATATTTGCGACCTTAGAGCATATATTAACTCATATTTTCTTTTTCGATCATCTCAATTGTGATTCTGATTCATTTGATGAACTTATTAGTATACTAAATCAAATAATGAAATATTTCGTCAGAAAAAGGCATGATAGCTACTTTTTCCTCTATAACAGGTTTTTTAGTTACTTGTTGGATTTCTTCGCGACATTTTCCTTTAAGTAATTTATACTATTGCTAGTATGTCTCACTCTGTATGTCCATTTTCGTAGGGCCCTTTCAAGAAGTTAAAAATCAATGTTTATCAGGTTACGGAGTACTAAAACATGTTACTTGTTTATCTAAGGACTTTCAATAAGTTTTGACTGGCGTTGAGTGGCACATTTAATTTCAGGCTCTCTTTTGAGTTTCTACTGGATCCAATTTTGCATTGTTTTTGGTAGCTGGATCCAATTTTGCATTGTTTTTGGTAGCTGGATCCTCAAATTTCAGGGTCTCTTTCAGAAACTAATTACATTTTACCTGCTTATAATATCACGAAAAATATAAAAAGGTATTTGTAAATTAAATTAATAGTCTTGGTGTTTCTCCTATGTAATTTTCTTGAAGCCTGAATTTTTCCGAGTCTTAAAATTATTCGCTTTTGTGTTTTCTATTTGGCAGACAAGCTGAGCTTTTGGAAAGGAAACGATTGAAGAAGCTGAGGCAAAAGGAACAAAAAGTGAGCGAAACTTCCAATGGTGGAAAAGTTGATTCTAAGGGCCATTCAGTTGACTCTCCTCCGGACCGCATGGGATCCACAGAAGTGTCCAGCTCTAGGGATTCATCTATCGACTTCACTTCAGAAGAATCACACAATCATGAACACCCGTTGGATTTTATGGAGTCATCAGCTGCTGATGATGACAAGAATACTGACCAGAGTGGAAGCCGCAATGTACAGAAAGAAGATCAAAATACAAGCGATTCAGCTTGCTGCTCTGATGATGCTGAGCAGAATGTAATCCACCAGACTCGAGGAACTGGCCAGATGCAGCCAAATCACTCCCGACATGTTCACTCGAAAACCGCTCAAATTATTCCTAATGGCTTTCAAGCAGGTCTGGTTTCAGCATCATCAAGGTCTTCAGTTAACATTCGCCACAACAGCTCCAGGGACTCCAAGGCTATAAGTCGTCCAAATAACCATAAGGTTTGGACCATAAAATCAAGGCCTGAGAGTGAAGATGGAAGATATGGAGAACTTGCTAGTCAACCATCTGTTTCTGACAGAGTTGAAGTCCTTATTGGTTCAATCAATGTATCACTCAGAGATGGTGATCTTCTACACCCAAATACAATCTCGGAATCACAGAGACAGGAGAAGCTTGAGCTGGCTAAGCCTGATTCAAATCTGAACAGTGTCAGTAAGTCTCCAACAAAACTGTGGAGACCAGTGAGCCGCCATGGCGATGGAAATTCCATTGAAATTGATCACGGTGATGTAAAACCTGGTATTTCTGCTACTAAAGATGCTGAACGGCTGCTACCCGATGGAAGCTGTCCGGCTTTTGATAAAATAGTTTCTGATTGCGAAAGTTGTGGAGGTGGACCTATGATGTTCTCAAGCGAAGCTGCCAAAGCTTTCCTCGCTCTGAGTAAGTTACATCCTCTATCCTTATTTGTAAGCACAAACCTACTTTTCACATATATGCCACTCAATTCTTATTTATCTACATATCTAACACCTAAACTTTATTTTCTAAATATATGCCACCTTACTTGTGCATGAGAAGGTGCATTTCACTTTTTAGAAGTTAAAGTAATGATATTTTTGAGGTGACATGAAAGATTATTTTTTTTGTTAAGTGATATGAAAGATTTGAGTGTTATAAACGTAAGAAAGCAAAGTTGGAATTTTAAATATGCAAATACGTAGAATTGGGGTGGTGGTCTGTATGTAAGTGCCCCATTTTCTCTCCTGATCTATTGGCTGTTGGTGCCACAAAATCACAAATATTAATTGCTCAAAGTTAAATGGAGGATTCTTGGGGTGGTGTTTGGCTGCAATTAGGATTTAGTAAATTAGAAAATTGTTAATCTGATAAATCCACCATCTATGTGGATTTAGTAAATCTGGATTTAAGCTGGATCGAAGGCAAAATTTTATTCCTTACATCCGAAAATTCGCAAATTCCCAGGTCTCTTGCATTTTTGCATTAGGGTGGAGTTTATAAATGCGGTGATAAATTATATTCAAAGATACCATCAAACACTCCCTTAGTTAGTTTCAACTGTTAAATCTTCATCATCTCTGTGACAAGATATATATCTTAGTGGTGCTTGAAATTGATTTACAGGGTGGAAGGAGGCCATTGCCGGAGATCAGGTGTTGGTCATTTCTTCCCCAGAAACTGACGCTTCAGGAGGTCCTAATCCCATTGAAGGTAACTTTGCAAATTCACCCTTACAAACATCGGATTTTCACGGACGGCACGTCCTCGGACGTGTCGAGAATCGGCTGGTGGGTACTGGCGTCAATGACCCCGCAACAACTGGTTCGTGGCATTTCAAATTCAGACCGAAGGCCGAGAAGACCTCCAGGTTAAAATATGTTCCCAAGCAGAAGAGTTAGGCGTGCAGAGGATTTTGAAGAGTTGTGCAGTTTCAATTGACCCGTTTCTTATTAGCAGAGGTTCGGTATTCCGTGTTCTTGAAGCTATATGCCTTTTTGAATCTCTTTCTGGTTTCATTTTGCACTTGATAGAATTCGTTGATGACCGCCAAACTATAGTCTTTATTTCTTTAAATGATTTATCGGGGAACTTTTTTTATCTCTGAAAGTTCTTTTTTTTTGTTTTTGTTTATGTAATAATTTCTTCTTTGGTTTTAATAGTATTGATTATGATATCATTTTGGAGGGGTCGTCCTTTTGTTTTCTTCCTCTACAACCAAAAGTTTTTAAGAGTTTTTGATGATATATTTGTGACCGAACTGAAGACGAATGTATAATAAAAAAGATTTCTCCATTGATTTAATGGTTCAAGGAGTTTCCAATTTATCATTATATTATCCTTGTTGATGTTTACCCAAGTCCTTGCTGCATCTCCTATTGATAATTTGATCGTTGTTGTTCTTCATGGAGTATAAGGTAGAATGTGCGTATTTTACAAATAAGTTTTTCTGTAATAATGATTTGTTTTAAGTAATTTAAAATGGGAGTGATGAATATCTTTGTGTTTTAAGTGGAGCAAGACACCTTTTTATTCAAATGATGTTAAGGAACTGATTGCAAGTTTGAATCCTATATAAATATATCCGACTTACCCTAATGAGGAGAAATTTTCGAAGGTACCCTCAATTTTTGTTATAATATAATAATTTGAGTTATATATATATTATTATTATTATTATTACTATTATTTAGGGTCATTTTCATTACGCGGTGCATAATTCTTATGTATTTACATATATCTAAATATTCATATTTACACAACATTCAGATTATTAATATTACATAAAAAAATATTATGATCACTTTTTGTCAGTGATATGTGTTCATGCAAGGGTTTAAAATATGAAAATGTTATCTCTGTGTGTGTTTGTGTATAACCATAAGG